TGGTTTCTCTTATTGTGCTGCTCTCTACTTGCCTTTTTATCTTGTTGATTTCTTGCTTGCTTTATTTTTGGGGTTTATCTTCCTTTTTTCTTTGTCTTTCCTTGTGTTTTTCTTTTCCCACAGTGCTAATGAATATTGAGATGCCTTCAGTGGTACTGAAGGGCTGGGAACCTTTATCAAACTTTAAAACATCTGTCGGACCCATGAGCTTCTAGACAGGGGCCACCGGGGGCCAGTGCCCCTGTAGATCATGTCCTGGGCCCTGCTATGGGCCCTGTGCTGAAGACATAATACTCAAAGAAATTCTAATGATGATTTGCACTTGAACCGACATGGTTAATGATAGGTTCTTTGGATCTATTTCATTGTGGGGTTTTTTTTTTGGTTAAAAAATAAGGTTTAACAAATAATTAAAAAAAAAAAAGGGAAAACCTCAAGGGGAATAAAAAAAGAACCCAAGTTTCAACCGCCAAATTTTTTTTTTCAAATAAAAAAAACTAACTTTTAATTAATTTTTACAGCTCAATTGATGTTTTTCTTAAGTTTTAAAATTGTTATTTTAACTTAAATGAAGTCAAAAAAGGTAAATTCCTAAATTATGAATGTATATTGACCTAATAAATCATAGAATGTTAATAAAACCTAACTGAATATATAAATTTCACTTCAGGCATCTATCCTAATATATTTGAATCCTTTGCCCTGTTTTTTTATTCCATGCTTTTTTGGGCCCCCATGAAATCATTCTGGCCCCCTTCTGGCCCACTGGTACATTTGGTCTAGAACCGCCACTGGTCGGACCTGTCGCAGATTTGCTGCTGTGTGCTAAAGCTCTGAAACAGCAGAGTTAAAAAGAGCCCAGGTAAAAAGAAAAAGAAAACACAGTTCAGCTAACACTGGTATAACCCTGGATTTATTGTGACAGGAGAGCTTGTCCACCATTACCTTTTTGTTTCTTGGAATGTGAAGAACGTGATGTTGGTCTCAACTGAGAAAGACATTAGTCTGTAGGGGGCGGGGTTTAGGGTCTTTTCTTCTTGACCGTAACCCTGAATTCCAATGAACTCCGGAGGTTCAGGTTTGCACTTGACCTCTGACCCCATGTGTGCGACGCTCTCCTCACTGGTAGGAGCCCACTTCTCTCCCAACAGGGAGATAGTGTGTGTTTTAGATTTGGAGCAACATGGAGTTTGGCTCAAATTTAAAATGCATTATTATCACCTATGAACTGAAAATCTCAATCTTTATGTTTGCCTTTAGGAAAAAAGGTATATTTATAATTACATAGGAGCGGGTTTGCATTTGTGGAGGCAGACATCTATTGCGTTACGGCATCGCAGAGACAAACTAGTATCTATAAAGATCGCCTTTACGCTCCTACACAGACTAATAAAATACAATTTATATAATTATCTATGTAAAATAGACTCACTCCGGCCATGACCGGCAACCACATGGTTTTTATGAAGACCAACAATTTCAAGCACTGGTCTATCCTGCATTTATTTTCTATCATAACAGCATCCTCTCTCCATTTTCTTAGGGCGGGTTTACAGTATGTCTGCGCATGGTTACAGCCGGATCTTATTTTGAACGTACATTACTGTTTTGGTCTGGTGAAGCTGAGCTGTTGATTACCTGATGAAGACACGGTTGCTGTACTGCTGCTACAGTAGTTAAATTAGCATGGTGTGTGTGTGTGTGTGTTGCATAAATACTGTGTTAATACAATGAAAGAGAGACAGTAAGCAGATGTCCGAGTCTGAGTTAGACACTGTTTGATCAGTCAAGTACAACCTGTGTGTTGGGGGTTAATTGATGGTAGTTGAATAAAACTGTACAAGTAGATCATTAAACATATATATATATATATATATATATATATATATATATATATATTGATCTTAGTTGAAGTGTAAATGAAACATTTCTACAACAGCATAACAAAGATCTACAGCATCTTAGTGGCAGATAGCTTAATTACTTACACAAACAGGGCATTAAAACAACAAAGATGTAGAAATATCATACATCGGTAATGGCTAGCCTCATAGATGAAACAAATGGTGAAAGGTTGTTTCCTGGTACTCTGGTTATGCAGAGAGTCTGAAATCACATTCAGCTGCTCTACAAATCCACTTTTTTTTGTTATGTATAGGTGAGGGGAGTGTTGGGCTAGTGGTTAGAGCAGTGCGCTTGTGTTCTGAGAAGGTTGCAAATACCCAGTTCGATCCCCACAGACTGGGTCCCTATGCAACACCCTTAACCCCACACTGCTCCCCGGGCACTGCAAAATGGCAGCCCACTGCTCCCCAAGGGGATGGGTTAAATGCAGAGGTAAATTTCTCGAAAGTGAGATAAATAAATTTAAATGATTATTAGGTGTTGGCATGTAATTGGACTGATCAACTGTGTTTACTTTCACTTCCTGGTTCTAATAAAGCAGGAATAGATCATAGATGGGCGTAGCTCTGGTCCTCACTGACCTCCCTGACAGTTTAATGTCTCTATCAGATCAGGAAGTCTGAGCCATATATGGATTTCTGGTGCAGAAAGAAAGTAAAACCAAAAGAGGAGGATTATCTGTCTACTGTCAGAATGAAATCTACATTACAATCCAGTCCCTCTACAAACGTTACTGTTTCTCTTTCTAAGGCATATAAACACACAGCTGTTAGGTGAATTGGCCTCCATGCTTGGATAAAATCAGGCTGAAGTGGAAACCAGAAACCCCAAACTGGCCTCCAATGACTTCAGAAACGCACATGTTGCTGAATTTCACCTGTGAACCTTTTTCTTCCCCTTACTTTAATAGAACAGTATGAGGGAGTATTGGGGAGAAGCGTGGGACAGTTGCATGTAAATAGTATGTTTTTGACCTAAAGGAGGATGTGAACCAACAGAACGATTAGTTAAGCAGGCACAGCCACACACTGGTCTAGTGAAAAGTCTCTAAACTGGTAAACATTAAAAGTTCGGACTGATCGTTAGCTGTCAGCTAAAGATATATTGCTGCAGTTGAACCCGATTATGGTGGATGACAAAAGATGAATCGGTTGTTGTCTCCGATGAGGAAACATGTACTGGAAGACTGGCAGGATTTATACATGTACTCAAAGCTTTTTGAAAAGTTTAATCAACCTGGAGGAAAAAGTCTTTGATCATCTTAGAGCTTCTGCTTCAGCCTACTCAGGCAAGGAGATTTTTTCTCACAGCTCTCGTATTTTCTTCTCTTTCTTTCCTTTTCTAATCTAATCTCCAGCAAAGAGGGGGAGGGGCTATGTGGTAAGTTTTTACATCACATTAGGATAACTAATGATGAATCAAACCTAAAACGAAAACAGAATCTATGATGAGAAACTTTGAGAACTTGTAAATGAAGCAGGAATAGGGATATGAGAACTATGCCAGCTTTAACTTTTCAGAAAAATATTTTTTTTCTAAACTTGTCAAGCCCAGTCAGTAGAGCATCTGCAGGCTCCATTTTCGATCCTTCTTGCCAAAGATTCTATCTTCTTATTTTAGGGTGTTGTGTATTTTGCAGGTTTTCTTTCAGGATTGCACTGTGTTCATGCATGTTCATCTCTGAGCAGCTTCCTCTCTGCTCAAGATAAGCCTCTGGCAGTACTATGCTGCCACCACCATGTTCTAACATGAGTGCATTATGTATTCCAAAACACCTAGTCTTTTGCATATAGGCTTTTTAAGAGTAGGCCAAAAACTGTCTTTTTGATTAATAATATTTAAAATTAAAGCGTTTCAAGTTAGGCTGCTGGAGGACAAAGGGACTAGAGTTGCTCTGATTCTGATACCAGTATCGGAAATGTCTATGATACAGCTGAAAATGCTGGGATCAATATAGGCAAGGATTGGTGTCCAGGCATCAATCCGATAGCGTGTCATTTAAAATAAGAATTAAAATCGGAATCTATTTACTGGTTAGTTCTGCCAGACAGAGCCACCTAGTTTATCAGCCTCTTCCCAACTGAAAATAACGTGTTGACGCGTGTTTTTCAAACATAGGTCAGCATTTGGCTAAATTGTGACAGGACAGGTTGTCCACCATTACCTTTTTGTTTCTTTGAATGTGAAGAACGTGATGTTGGTCTCAAGCTGAGAAAGACATTAGAGTCAGAGTCTTGGTCTGTTTGTTCCTGTTTTTCTTGGTTATCCATTTGTTGTCCTCTGCTGCCCTCTTGTGTCCTCCCTTGCTCTGTTTCTCTGTCCTGCCAGCACCTGTTGCCAATTTCCTCGTCAGCTCTCTCTTTGTCTCTGTCCCCTTTAAAAGCCCTCCCTCTTCAGTTCCTGTTTGCTGGATCCTCGTCAAACATCTCGTCTTACTTCCCGTCTATCATCGGCCTGCCTTGTCTCGTCTCTCCCTGGCTTCTGGTTTGGTTAATCCTGATGTCTCCTTGGTTCTGGTACGTTTGGTATTTTCAGTTGGACTCTGATTTCTGCCCCTGGATCTGTTAACCTGAATAAACGGACTTTAATTCACCTCTGCCAACTGGCCTTTTCTTCTTGACTGTAAGCCTGAATTCCAATGAACTCTGGAGGTTCAGGAACCTTTTTATTGCCTAGCTGGAATGGGTGACAATAGTTGAATAAACTTTTGGCTCTCAAAATTGGTGCCCCATTTGTTGGTACTCTCCGATACCACCACTTTAGTGCTGAATTAGGGCCCCGCCCAATACTGGTATCGGTGCAACACTAATAGGTTAATCCATATTTATATGAACTTTATTAGATAAAGCATTTCACTTTAGACATACCAGGCATCCTGATGATGCATTACGTTCTGTGATCAATAGCAAAGTCTTTATTACAGCGTCTATTTAAAAAACAAAACAAATATTAATTGTAAACACTGAGCAATTACGATAAGATTCTAATATTTTTTGCTGTTGTATTTATGTTGCTTGTGGGTAAAACTGAATGCCTGCATGTAGTCTTTACAGAACTCTTTTGACATTAACCTGAGAAATCATCACTACTTGCAGGTATGTTCATGTTGGGAGCACTCTGACAGACCTCCAGTAATGGGGCTTTTGGTGTGCACCAAATCCGTCTGCAGGCCGGCCGCAGCCTGGATTGCCCTGGTCTTCTCATCACTACTATTGCATTCGGTAAATCCTTTTTGCAGATGCTGTTGATTTATGGTGGATGGGAACAGTTCTATTAACGACTCTGTGCACCTGATTTTTTATGAAGAGCTGTGTGGGTCTATACTCTAGCAAACACGTGTTCAAAGTCTCAGATGGATAGGTGGAAAACATGTTTTAATAACGAATGGTTTCACGTTTTGTCTGTAACTTTCTTTAAAAACAAATGTAATTTCTTACTTGTCACCTTTCTTTCTTTCATCTGCTTTTCACTCGTTCTTCAGATGGTCTCTGTCCACGGTGTCCCATCATGTCCACGGAGCTGTAGCTGTCCAGGTGCTAAAGAGGTCCACTGTACATTCAGACACCTGACCACAATCCCAAAGACCTTCCCTAAAGCCACCCAGAGGCTCAACCTGGGGTAAGACTTGTCTACAAGCCTAAGCTCAGTGAAATACTGTGGTTATCAGAGCTGGTAGAGAGGATCTTAGAGCTCTTGTAGAATCCCTTGAAGACAGCCCTCTGATTTTGAGATATCCGGACAACAAGTACCTTGTTGTCTAAAAGGGAAGCCTAAGAACTTCAACCTGACAGTGTACTTTGCAAAAGTACCAACTCTTCTGCATTTTTGTTGCATCAAATCCATAAACCTTAATTAATACAAATGAATACAACGGACCAACACAAAGTAACTCATAATGTTTCACTCTGACACTCCTAAATGGGATCTAATGCAACCACTTGCCAATTGGTCGACAGTATCCAGCTTTATATCTGTTGTCTTTGTAAATGCAGCATATCTGAGGCATCAGAGGTGAAAGCATTTGTGAACAAACAACGACACAAAGACTGAAAAAAAAC